GGGACTGTGTCCGTGAGGGACCGTGTCTGAGGGACCGTGTCCGTGAGGGACTGTGTCCGTGAGGGACTGTGTTCGTGAGGGACTGTCTGTGAGGGACTGTCTGTGAGGGACTGTGTCCGTGAGGGACTGTGTCCGTGAGGGACTGTGTTCGTGAGGGACTGTCTGTGAGGGACTGTCTGTGAGGGACTGTGTCCGTGAGGGACTGTGTCCGTGAGGGACTGTGTTCGTGAGGGACTGTCTGTGAGGGACTGTCTGTGAGGGACTGTGTCCGTGAGGGACTGTGTCCGTGAGGGACTGTGTTCGTGAGGGACTGTCTGTGAGGGACTGTCTGTGAGGGACTGTGTCCGTGAGGGACTGTGTCCGTGAGGGACTGTGTTCGTGAGGGACTGTCTGTGAGGGACTGTCTGTGAGGGACTGTGTCCGTGAGGGACTGTGTCCGTGAGGGACTGTGTTCGTGAGGGACTGTCTGTGAGGGACTGTCTGTGAGGGACTGTGTCCGTGAGGGACTGTGTCCGTGAGGGACTGTGTTCGTGAGGGACTGTCTGTGAGGGACTGTCTGTGAGGGACTGTGTCCGTGAGGGACTGTGTCCGTGAGGGACTGTGTTCGTGAGGGACTGTCTGTGAGGGACTGTCTGTGAGGGACTGTGTCCGTGAGGGACTGTGTCCGTGAGGGACTGTGTTCGTGAGGGACTGTCTGTGAGGGACTGTCTGTGAGGGACTGTGTCCGTGAGGGACTGTGTCCGTGAGGGACTGTGTTCGTGAGGGACTGTCTGTGAGGGACTGTCTGTGAGGGACTGTGTCCGTGAGGGACTGTGTCCGTGAGGGACTGTGTTCGTGAGGGACTGTCTGTGAGGGACTGTCTGTGAGGGACTGTGTCCGTGAGGGACTGTGTCCGTGAGGGACTGTGTCTTGGGGGACTGTGTCCGGGAGGGACTGTGTCTGAGGGACTGTGTCTGAGGGACCGTGTCCGTGAGGGACTGTGTCCGTTAGGGACTGTGTTGTGAGGGACTGTGTCTGAGGGAGTGTCCGTGAGGGACTGTGTCCGTGAGGGACCGTGTCCGTGAGGGACTGTGTCTGAGGGACTGTGTCCGTGAGGGACTGTGTCTAGGGACCGTGTCCGTGAGGGACTGTGTCTGAGGGACTGTGTCCGTGAGGGACTGTGTCTAGGGACCGTGTCCGTGAGGGACTGTGTCTGAGGGACTGTGTCCGTGAGGGACTGTGTCTAGGGACCGTGTCCGTGAGGGACTGTGTCTGAGGGACTGTGTCCGTGAGGGACTGTGTCTAGGGACCGTGTCCGTGAGGGACTGTGTCTGAGGGACTGTGTCCGTGAGGGACTGTGTCTAGGGACCGTGTCCGTGAGGGACTGTGTCTGAGGGACTGTGTCCGTGAGGGACTGTGTCTAGGGACCGTGTCCGTGAGGGACTGTGTCTGAGGGACTGTGTCCGTGAGGGACTGTGTCTAGGGACCGTGTCCGTGAGGGACTGTGTCTGAGGGACTGTGTCCGTGAGGGACTGTGTCTGTGAGGGACTGTGTCTGAGGGACTGTGTCTGTGAGGGACCGTGTCCGTGAGGGACCGTGTCCGTGAGGGACTGTGTCTGTGAGGGACGCTCTACAGGGAGTTGGGCGCTGGGATCGCCTTCTAGTTTCCTGTGAAGATGGAGAGGGACTCAGAGAAGACGTTTGGGTTCTGACTGGAAGAGGAGAAACTTCATTTGGTTCCGAAGTGTGTGTGTGTGTGCACCCTCCGCAGGCTGGCCTGTTCCCTCCCCTCGGCACCCTCCCAGAGGAGCCTCCTGTGGACAGGAGGGTGGACAGGAGGGTGATGGGCCCGCCTTGTCCTCGTGTGGACGGGGTGATGGGCCTGCCTTGTCCTTGTCTGGACGGGGTGATGGGCCCGCTGTGGCTTGCTCTTGGGAGCAGTGCCTGGGGGCTGCCTCCCTTCGCCTTCAAGGGCCAGGATAGAGCTGGGAGCAGATAAGCCAAACCACAGACATTCCACCCCAGCACTGGTTTCCTTTAACAGGCAGCTCTTCCTGCCTGAGACGACCTTCTAGGCCAGCGGTTCTCAACCTGGGGGCCGCGACCCTTTGGGGGTCGAACCAGCCTTTCACAGGGGTCGCCTAAGACCATCGGAAAACACATATATAATTACATATTATTTTTGTGATTAATCACTATGCTTTAATTATGTTCAATTTGTAACAATGAAAATACATCCTGCATATCAGATACTTACATTACGATTCATAACAGTAGCAACATTACAGTTCTGAAGTAGCAACGAAAAGAATGTTGTGGTTGGGGGTCACCACAACATGAGGAACTGCGTTAAAGGGCCGCGACCCACAGGTTGAGAACCGCTGCTCTAGACAAAGGGGAGAACAAGTGCATGGAGGGTTTGGGATGTTTTCCTTGTTGCCTGTGACTGGAGGGGAGACTGGAGGGAAAGTGAGCCTCGCAGGGGAAGGGAAGCGCTCCTTTCACCCTGGGCCCCATGAGCGCTGGGACCTGCTGGGTCCAGGGTGGCTGTCCCTGCCCTGCCCACCTGTGGGGTGTGGGCTCCTCCTCAGCCAGCCCACCAGCTGCTTTGCTTTCTGCTTTGTTTGTTTACTGTTTCTGCCGGGGGCAAAAACATACAAACAAAAATGTTGCATGGTATTATTATATCCTATTAACAAGATCAACATATTTTGCTTCAATTAGGCTAGTTCCTCCTGTAATATTTATAATTTAATATATGTTGACATCTTCAATTTTTATTA